TGGCGTGCCCTGTTTTAAACGAGCCGATAATTTCCACCCAAAACAAGTGCTCAACACTTAACATGACTGACACTCCTCCTTCTGTGCTAGTAATCAATCGAAAAGATCATATTCATTGAACAGATGGCAAATCGTAGATGAAGTTCAACAAAATCGCATGCATCTCGTTCATGCCTACAAAGTTTTCAAAGCAACGAACAAGTATTCAACACAATTTTGAGATTTTTGGGGGGCACAACAAACAATCAAACTCTCACATAACAATACGGTATCATTTTTAACCGGTATCTCAACTTTAAAGTAATTTGTGTAATTTGACAAAAGGCAAAAACAAAAGGAAATTGAATAGAAATGCTGATGACTAGGATAAAAACGACACCTAAACAGTCCCTATCTCATCATCAAAAACAAACAAACACACTCGCTCAACAATTAAAGCGCTCACACTATGAACTGGTTACTTATACTTATATTGAATAATGTGACAACTATAGTAATTGCTAGCAAGAATTACACTATTGAGCAAATCATAACTGTAATCGTACAACATTGTAAAAGAAAAAAGGGAAAATATTCCGAGTTCAACAGGTAACAACCTAGCAAATACCCTAGCTTAACTGAAGTAAATTTAAGAAATGTCATTCACTCACTGGGACTCATTACTCGTATTCAACCGGCTGTAATTGACAGACAAACATAACCGCAGTTTTAGTACTTTTTGTTGGATGAGGCGAAATAAATAAAACTAAGGGAAAACTTTCGCGTAAGTAAAACATGATGAGAAAAGAAAGCAACGAAATTTCGTAACGCAAAACGCATTCAGTCACAGACAGACCCGCAGCGGTAAATACGAACAAAGGCTTGTACAAAGGGGAACAGGGTGAGGGTTATGTTGAGTAAAGCAAAAAAAGGACTGCAATAAACACGGAACAGGAGACTCTTTCACACCAACTCTCACACACGGGACTTTGCAGGCATAGCTTTTTATGTGGAATCGAGTAAATATGCAAATACAGTAGAATCATACAGTGCTACGACACAAAATGAGAGTAAGCTAGCTACTTAGAAAACTCATGACGCTGGTGTGACGGCGTTCACCGCCTTCTGCATCTCTTTCCTCGCCCATATCGCGACCGATTTCGTCTTCGAAGTGCGACTCTTCCGCCCTCGATCGAGAAGGGCTTTCACCTGAACAACAACCGGATCACACTAGTCAAACCACTTGGGAAAAACAGTCAACATACAAAGTATTTCAGTGTCACGTCAACCCCTGAGCATTCATGGACATGGGATTGTTAAGCGTAAATGAGAGTTAAATGGGAGCCTCCGCTCTACTATCAGCATCGCAAACTAGTAGCAAGGGGGGGGGGGCGGGGGGGGGTGAAAAAGCAGATAAAGAGCCATATTGAGAGACCTTTGTTTCTATACACGAAGTCACTAAAGCCTGAGGAACGGGTTCCACTGCCTTCGGTGAAGAGAGTAGGATTAATGAGTTGGAAGAACCTGTCCCTCCTAAAGCTGGCATAGAAAGAGGATGGAAAAAACCTCAGCTACAAGCGCTTAGGAAAGTTGTTGCAGTACGATTTTCCGCAAGTCCTTCGACTCCGCACTATGACAATTGCAAAAACGTTTTGTAGGATCACCTGCGGGATGGGCAGGTGAGTAACAGTAGAGGTGCGCCACTCTCGTCCTTTGAAAATGCGCGAAAATGAGGATGCAGAATGGTGATAGTTGGGCATTCATTATGCATCCCTTCGCTACATGTTGTCAACGCGTTCGCTATAGGACCTGGACGAGTTATGCCCAGCAATGAGCGTGCTGTCACGCAGCAAAAGCTGATTCCTGCACGTATCCGTGCAGGGGGGAGGGGGTGAACTTGAGGAAAATCCAGCGATCACCACTTTCCAGCTCCCGCGCTCTATTGAGTAACAAAAAGCAAAAGTTCTACAGACTCTCACGCATGGGAAGGATCAAATTCCTGGGTAATTTTCTGACGCAACCTTGAAGGCAGAGGGCACGATGGCTGGGAGTGGCGGTTGTCGCCCGCGTCATTCGTGGAAGGGCTGAGTGGGATGTGGTCAAACCCCCTCCTCTAATAAGGCTGGCAACAACCTTCCGCCTCCAGCAAACGTGCCCCTTCATTTGAATCAGAGACGTATTTTGCACTACTTCCGATTACCTTGTCGTTGGAAAGCTCCGGAGTGATTTGGGTACCGTACAATACAACGAGATCACCAATTAAACCAGCCACCGAGGCAACAAGACCATCCGACGGAAGCACTGGCGTAGTTTCACAACATCTAAAAACGAGAGCTTCTTGGAGCTGAAATCTCAATCAAATGGGAACCGACAGAACGTGAGATGCGATAGAACGTGAGAGTGAGAAAGGAAACTATAAAAAAAGAGAGAAAGAATACCCCACATCGCAATCATCTTAACCATGGCGGGTACAAACCGGCTCAAGGACAGCTTTGCTTGGTTCTTCTGGAAAATATATTAACATCTTTACGATAAACACGGCTAGATAACTTATTACAGTTCAGAATAGTATCCTAAACCTTCAGCATTTCCAGCTATCTAGTTCAGCACTCAGTTTTCAATGAGTTTAGCCTCAATGATTCCAACGATGCAAAAAGTACGAGTTGCTGCTCAAAACTCAACTCAGCGAGCTTCAGGATAATTTCCCCGTGCACTTTCAGAAGCAAGCATGCAGGATGAACAATTCCAAGCTCACCTTTTCCGGATCAGTATCTGAACCGACTGGCCGCATTCCTTGTAGGATTCCCGTATAGGCCATGACGCAGTTCTCTCGCAGCTTATCCACATAATCAACTTGATCGTAGTCTTGCTGAAATGACACATATCATTCGACATTTCCCAGAACGCTTCAAAAGAAGGAAGAAATTTACTTGATATGTGAGCTGTATTGAAGGGATTTTTTTCATACGGTTAAAATTTGTTAACGACTTAACAACTCATTATCGACTGCATAATTATAAGAGCGGTGAAATACTATAACCACAAACAATTAGTATATAAATGAACGGTTGAACGGTCAACGCAGCACTTGGCGCTCCGAAATCACAAAATGGTGAGTTATGGGCCAAAGTCAGATCTCAGGCGGTATTCGAACATTCTTCTCTCGCTGGCCGGGCGAGTGCGCTATCCATCACGCCACCGGACCGAACGTACCCTCCTAACCACAAATTAATTTGATTTCTTACTTTCGAAACTTTATGAGAACCCTGATGGTGTTGCTGCTGTTTAGACTGAGAGCTTCACAGACATAAATGAAGAGTATGTAGAAAGAAAGCTTGCGAGGAACTCCTCCTCCGCTTTCAAAACTGACTATCTTGCATGTTAGATGGGTAAAAAATATAGGGTAAAAAATGTCCCCCCACTTTGGAGTTTACCGAAAATACTTACGGTATTTGCG